TTTACGCCACTGGTATTTTTAATCCATTAAATCTTTCCATAGCTCTAAAGTATAATGTATATACTACCTTTCATGGACATTTAATGCCTATATCTTTGAAAACGGAGGAGGAGTAGTGCTTTGAAAACAATATGTTTACTATGTTCTTTACATAAATTTCGGAAATTCTGTAAGTGATATCAATATATGACATTAATTAGGAGTGAATTTTAAATTAGTGATCTGCGGGCACATTTGTAACATTTTATAGTAAAAATCATCCAGTTCGCCTTATTGTAACTAGTGAATATTCGAATATTTGTTGAATATCAGGTTGCAAAAATGAGTATTCGGAAATTAATAATTAAGTAAATATAACTGAATGTTACACATATATATTTGTCAATTTCAAAACTGTCGCCCCTATGAAATTACTAAGTGTTTATTAGTAAAAATAAACAAAACGCGAAATTCATCCATATGTAACACCAGCATTTGACAAATAAACCTTAATTAATTGAATTAATTGATCAAATAATTTAAACTATGTATAAATGAAACATATATTTATGTAATTATGTATCTACTTACACTTTTGTCCCAATTTCTTTTAAATATGTTGCTTCAATTGCCCATCTTTGTGCTGAAATCTATTTGTTTTTTTAAAAAAAGTATTTTAATCAGATTTTTAAAACATAATAATGAATTTGTAAATTTATTTACTTCCCATAACCAACGTGCCCATGCATATTTTGAATTAGATTTAATTTTTATTAAACTTGGATTAATTCCTCCAAATAACAAACCCAAGTGAAAATGCCCATAAGTCCTATTTGTTCTTTACTCACAATGATTGATAAGAAATATCCTACCAATACAGATCAGATAACCTAGTAAAATAATTAAATAAATATTATAAATTTTGTTTCATTTAAATAAAACATTATAAATGATATCGAATACATAAATGCTGCTGTTATATTAATCTTGGTATATCTGCTATGACTTTTGCAAAAAAATATGGTATTGCTGACATTCCTGATGATATGTCACGCCAATAAACCACTTTCTCGTAACCAAATGTTGAACCACTACCTAATGATTTCAATTGATTAAACATTTTTTTTAATATATTACCATAAATTACACAGAATGTAAGTCCCAAAATCATATATAGGGCAATATTCTAAAAATAAATCCGGTTTTTATATAATGGGATTCAAAGCAATAATATAATAAAATATAATAATCTAATCGTTCTCTTACTTGTAAAGAACCTGACAGTGATAGACAATTTGGGAGCATTACAAATGGCGTAACCAAACGTAATTCTTGTGGTGGAGCACCGATATATGTGAAGTTACTAACGGCTGCTGAAAGAAATGTACCAGGAACAAAATTTAATAACCGATCAATCACAAATCGTGTTTTGTTTCTATAAACTTGTGATAGAGATCGTTTCAGCAATAATATAAAAACCAGGAAAATATTTGGTGTTTGTCGTACTGAATCATTCAAAAACATATTTTTTATAAAATAAATCAATTCAAAAATCACATCCCCAATGTACAGTTGAATATCTTTTAGTAGTCAAATGGATGAAATTATTATTTTATCTTTGATGAATTACATGATTGATGATAATTTTGAATTTTTTGTAGTGGTGATGGCAATGATTGTGGAGGTGGCAGTGGAGATGGAGGGAAAGATCGTGACGATGACTTTATTTCTGCTTCCATTACTATTTTCATATGACATGATTCACTATAACTATCAATAAATGTATTTGTCTCACTAACATCATTTCCATTAATCAATATTACTATTAGTGTTATTGTTTGCATATGATTCCTATGCTATTGCAAGATCTTCTAATGTATAATTGGTTTATTTTCAAATTTCACTCGACCAGACGCAATCTCCGTCGCAAAATCAGATGGATTCAGTGTTGTGACCCGAAACAGAAACTAACAGAAACCACCCAAAACTAATTTAGGTTAGTAGTTTAGGTTTATGTTTAGGTTTAGTTTTAGTTTTAGTTTTCTGCTTAGTGTAAGTTCATTTTCCGAAACATTTCAGGAAACCAAAGAGTTTCTGGTCACAACACTGGATGGACTTATTAAAAATTAATATTATTAATATTATTATAAATGAAAAATGAATAAGAAACAATAATTTGTTTATATGTACATAGTTACCTCATTTCTGATGAGAATACTTGAAAAATAGCCGATTGCATTTTCACGTACTCTAGTATATATGAGTCTACCATTTTTAGATAACAGCATAAGATCATCAAATGTATTGAATGTTTGTGGCGAAGGTGAATGAATAACTGCTGACACAGTTAATTCTTGTTGGTGCGCGACATTTTTTAAAAGTGAACAAACTTCAAATAAAGTCACTGAATCTGAACCTGATGTCGGCTCATCCTAATTAATTGATATGCGCACAAAAAATTTACTTAGAAACTGTTGTTATTCTTATTCTCATTATTATTATTTGAAATACTTGCTAAAAAAGTATAGATGGTTCTGCTACAAGTTCCATTCCAATATTTACGCGTTTACACTGTCCCCCAGATATTCCACGTTTTTCTTCAATAAAAATAAATATCATTATAAATATACAGATACATAATTGATTAATAACATTCATCTACCTTCATTGCCTATAACTGATTCCATAACATTTGTTAATTCTAAAAATCGAATTGCCTCTATTTGTTGGTAGACGCATTAACACGGCATGCTTTTTTATTAAAAATAAAAAAATTAAATCTTCATTCATAATAATAAATAATATAAATAATGATATTATTCGCTATTAAAATCTCGCAGACTGTTAATTCACGAAGCATAATATCTACAAATAATGTTGTTTGACGGAATGTTTCCAAAGTTGTAAAAATATTGCGTCAAATTCGCTGCCATTAGGTCAAAAATGATGCAAGTAAAAATGCTTTAGAGGCTGATAAAATATAAAAGCTCATAAAAAAAACTTATAAATATATATTCCAGGTCTT